ACACTATACGAAGTTATACGACGGAGACGCAGACGCGGCATGCGAGTGTGAATGTTCGCGCGAGAGAACGTGTCTAATCGGGCGAAACTGCGCAACGTGGCCGTTGAAAACTGCGCAACGCAGGGTTGACTCTGTTTACAACTGTATTCTCACTTTATTGGAGCGTGAGAAAATTTCAAGCATTTGAGCGTATCTTAAAAAAGCGGTGCTGCACCGTGTGCAGCACGCGGTAGGCAGTGGTTGAAAGATCGTCTCATTTTCCAATTTAAGGCTTTGGGAAAATTCCTGCATTTCTTGGATTTGGGAATTCCTGCATCCTTTTAAAAATATAACTCAGAAACGATCACATGAAATGGTTTCCTACTTGACACAGGAAGGCTCAAGTTCCAAAAAGAAACAAAACCACACTCCGGGTACGGTAGGTCGGCCGGAGACAAGGGAGTGCATGGAAAGAAGTGCGCCTTGGAGAGGCTACGTGGACGCACTGAAACTAAGTAATCGGTTCAAAAGTTGAATTCTTCGAATTGAAGACAAAACGATCGATAGAATAGGATGCAGAAGAAAAGAGAAACGTTTTCGGCAAAGGAAGTGAAGGCCAAAAAGTTGCTCCCGTCACCAACATTTTTGAAAGATGTACAGCGGGAATTTGAATAGGAGTCTTTCGGTTTTTCCGAATTGTTTACAAAACCGAACTCCGTTATTATTGTGACGGCTCCTTTAAATCACTAGAGCATGATCAAACCTCTCTAGCACTGTAATTTTAGGTGTTAAATGGTACCGTTCGTATAAGTTTCTGTCCATCGTCTTATTCTGAATCCACTAGATGGGTGCAGGACTGCTTCGCGAAATCCAGGTTCCATTTTGAATACCTGAATTTATATACGATAAGTGCTAATATTATAAACCTAAAAGGCAGTTGGAGAGAACATATTGTACTTCTTATCCCTACTATATATAAATGCTATGTCTGTCTGTTTGTGTGTGTGTGTGTGTCACGAAATTCATAGCACGCGTCGCAGCAGTCGTTCAGGAGCTGATTTTTGATATGATATAGGGGGTGGGACGGGAACATATTTGGTGGGGGTCACAAAGTGATAACGACTGATAAGAGCAGATAAGAGGCGCTGAAACACAAATTTCACGAAATTCATAGTGCGCTTCGCAGCAGTCGTCAGGAGCTGATTTTGGGACATGATATAGGGGGTGGGACGGGAACATATTTGGTGGGGGTCAAAAAGTGATAACGACTGATGAGGACTGATAGAACGATATGCGTACGAACGTAGAGAGCACTTGAAATAGAAAATAGAACCAGATTGTAGATAATGCCTTTCATTTCAATATCATTTCATCAGCGTTGTAATTGTAAACTCCTTTCGACCGCTACACCTTCTAGAGTTCTTGAGGATGAATGGGATGCTCGAATAAATATGATAATGAATACTGGGCATTCCGTTTTGAGATATTCGACCGCTAAATTACCTCGATACTCGACGCATAGTGGTTGTTTACATCATCACTTTAGCTGTGCACTTCACTGCGCTTATCAAACAGTGAGATACAGCCAAGATGCAGCCTATGCAACGGACAGTAATACATTTAACGAAGCAGCTATAATTTAGCGGTGAAACCTAAAGCTTCATCGATTGTCAGTTCTATCAATGCGCGCGGTAGCGGGCGGAGCTAAACTGGTGAATAAATAAACTATTTAATTTCATAACTCCTCTTTGGAATATTTTTGTGTTTTATTTGTGGTAATGAATTTTTTGAGCCCCAAAGCGTATAAACATTAAAACTCTAGCAACAGTTATGTTTTTGTTCCGTGGCAAAAAATTACAGAGCCTTTTTCCTATATCACTCGACGTAAATGGTACCGTTTTTGAAGATAGTTCCTCTAGGAATAGTAGACCGCTGTTTCTGCGTACTTACTCTAAGTAAACTGCCTAAAGTGAGGGATATTTCGGACGCGAGCTTTGCTCTGGAACCGCCGCGACCCCTTTTCTGCATGTCTTCCCCTGTGTCCACTTCCACTTGTGAGGTCACCTCGTGAAGGAGATACATTTGCGCAAAAGCGATGTATTTTGTAGTAAGGGATCATCTCGAAATAACGACTTCAGCGCACACATCACCACGCATGAAACTCCGCCGCATACTGGATCTCAGGTTTGTTGGCAATTGATTTCTATCCTCTTCCCCTCTTCGCCTTTATCCTCATTCCTCTCCAGTAGTGTGTAATCGTAATCAGATCTTCGAGAAGCATCGACACCGCAAGACGTGCGAGCTATCCAGTTTGGTTAGCGATTGACATATTCTATTTGTTGGGGACTGACTGACAGACATACCGGCCGATGTAAATAAGTGCACAAATTCATACCGACAGTCCGGCACCCTAAGTAAGTGGTTAACAAAAAAGAAAGGGGACAATGTACATGTTTAGAAATCATTAAAATCTATAAATTATGAATATCGTTCGTGAGAATTTTCAGCACCATCCCCACTTCTTCTGTAGACCTTTCTTGGTTTGATCTATCCCTCTACCCGTGGACGCAGAATGAGCATACAATCAGTGTTATTCCATCGCGATGCGGAAATGGAGAAGATTGAGATTTCCCGATACACGCAAAAGCGAAGGGATGCCACAGTTTTCGAGGGTCGAAGACCAAAAATTACGGGATCTGTTTATTACTGAGGAATCGAAAATCAAGAAGTACGTCCACATTATGCAATTCTGTGATGCACCGTGGTCACCGACGGGTTAGTCGGACCGTCAAGCGAAGCCAGCACGATGACGCCCAGCAGTCACATTCCGTCACGAAATCTCTCAACGAAATGAATGACTAGCTCCATGTCCCTTGCAATTCACCAGAGAACTCCGGCACACAACAGCGACGTTTGTGGTATTTCCAGAGAAAATTCGCGGGAGTCAATAAGCAGCTGGTCTAAAAGGTGAGAGGTAACATGCAAGGGTCTTCCAGTCTTGGCGTTTCTCAACCTTTAACTTCGATGCACTACCTCTTGTCAGCTTGAAACAAAGCGTCTTCAAACAGAAGTAGAAACGTTTCATTCCTACATCTTCCCTCAGTTAAGAATGCTGGAGCTCAGAAGAAGTAGTAAGCCATCGGACATCCTCTATTCATCTAATGAATTCCATTGCTTTTCTCTCTAAAGCTCTTCAGAGGCTCAAAAATGCGATTTGCGGGTGCGAAAAGGTCGAACAGTAAGATGCATGTTTATTAGCTAGCTACGTCAATTTTCTAACGCTAACGAGCGATGTGTGGTCGACTTATTACGTGAGGAATAGTCCGCCACGTTAACCCTGAACAATGCCTGTCACATGTGTTGGGATCACCGTTACTTTCCACCACCTTGCTGACCATGATGTAAACCGACATTTATTATACATTCCTCAGAAACAGCCTCAATATTTTTGTGTTTTAACTGAAACCAAATAAATCGTTATATGCGTACAACAATTGACCATAATCTTCAACCCCTACAAGAGTTCTGAAAACCACCGTTACGAAAGCTGTTTGAACCATTACTACACATCACAGTCTATACATCATGTTGAAAGTCGGGAAAGAATGTATTATTGGCATGCTTCGTTCTGTGTGGTCTAGTCGAGATGTAATGAGAACAAATAAGCAGATTCACCTTCAACGCTCACTCAAAGTTTTGTGATGTAGAGACAATCGCTTCAAAAAGAGCTGACTTCATCATTCCCAAGAAGAACAGCAATATGAAAAGTGGGATCGAGGCTCCAATCGAAATCTCAAAAGGCGAAAGAACTTCTTGAAGGATCTCCTACTGGGAACAAAACTATTCTTTGGCACTAGATTGGTTTCATCGTAACCCACGTGAGCGCTGAAGCTCACAGACGTCGTGACTTTCGTACGACCTCAAAAGGTCTCACCTGCTATGGGGAGCGGGTCCTGGTGCGCCCATGCCATCGAGGATTCTTGAAGGGCGCCAGAGAAGCAATGTAAAGGAACCCTAGCCTGCCAGTCAGCCTACAAGTTGTTGCCGCTGATTATGGCTGCATCGTCACTACTCCGCATTTTGCTAATGTCGTCCTTCCAAAAGTCGAGCTGTCGAGCAGAATGGAAGTGGAACATGAACGTCGAGCTGGACCACGGTACTCGGTTTCGCCATATCCCGTTCTTGAGAGAACCTGGGTTAAACCCGTGAGTCCACGTCGTAGTTTCCTCGTATTATCCAGTGTTTTGTAGTTTTTGTTCTATCAGTAGTTTTAACATTCTATCAGTAGTTTCAACAGTTTGCATAGTACGTGAATCTATGGTTATATTTCGTTATGTTGATACGATCACACGTGACATAAACATGTTCCTAAGTTTGCTAGCGTTGCGCATACGCACGTGGAGATTCCGATGGCCGTAGGCTGGGCTAGTAGATCTATCGTAAGACGCAGCACTTTATTGGTTATATCGTAGTACCAGTTCGGGGCTGGTCAGGTCTTCTAATGTTTCACATGGTGTAGAGGCCAGCAGAGCTGCGTAAGCCCCGATAGCTTGCCCTCACGCCTCGGCGTCGCTCGCTACACCTGAATGTCCCACATAGCTATGCAATGACAACACTAACAACGTAGCGCTTAATGCGCAATTCTGAAAAATTGGTGCGTGTAGGGAGAACACAATGGAGCCTATTCAGGAACCACGTTTAGGACATTGCTTAGGTAGATGTCAGACTAAGCGATTGTTCAATCGCGACAGCGCGCTTGACGCAAACCACACTAGCAGTAACGACACGCCCCAATTCACCACTGTACAGCAAACCACCACAACGCTGCCGCGACTTTACAATTACCTAGTCTGTAGCCACCTTATTATTAAAGGCCTGTCCAATTCTCGGGACTGTAAGATTTCTTATCAAACTTGTTGTTCATATTTATTTCAAATGGCGAAGAAGCAACAGTGCTGGAACACGTAATCGATAATGAAGGAATTCGTGAGGGGCCTAATACTAAAAAATTCAAATTATTGCGAAACTTACCTTAGAAAAAAATCTCATACAAACAGCCATGTGAAAGTCTACAGGAGACTTTTCGTACAACACCACCTCAGATGGCATCACTTTATAGATGCGATCGCTGAATAAAAAACGCTTTAGGAGTATGCTTCGCTTAGCTCGTCCAGTTGCCACGCAGCACATTTCTTGTCAAACTGAGTGGCGATCTGAGCGATGCGGGCATTTACCACCAGAAATGCGTTCGGGCCGTGGAACGTTTTTTTCAAAGTGGTCTTTGCATGTTATAGGAGCACGTGCGTGGAGCATAAGCGTGAAGAATGTTATTCTGAGCGGCTCTGGGATATTGTCAAAAAGCAGCTCAAACCTCTCATAGGAAGTGAAACCTTTATCTTTTCAATATACGCATAGTAGCGCTCAGAAGTCTTTGGAAAAATTGCATTTTCGGCTGTAACGTTTTTCTTCTGAATCAAATCTGTTTAAATTTTATATGTTTAGGAGGGAAGCATTTTCCACGAAGCTAATATACTAATGTTTCATGGGAGGAAGAGTTGGGAATGAAAAAATCCTCTCACTAGAAATTCTAGAGTATGACCAGAAGAAAATTCTATGCTGTCCACTTCAGGACACGCTCCGCCCATTGCGGGAGGGCACTTCGTGTGCGCTGAGAACACCATAGGCATTACTTCCCTACACTAAATTGTTTTCTGCTCTGTAGGCTTTCTCCAACCGAGTTATGAATTTTTTCATTGAGCACTGCTTTTTTAGAGAACGCCCCGCCCACCGGGGGTGGGTCTCCCAGTTCGATCTGGCTTACCAACGCACACCTATACCCACTTTTGTCCCCAGTCTCGAGGCTGTTTTGTGACTGAATTTGAAATCATGGTCTCAGTTCATTTCGATGCACGCCACGCCCACTGTGGGCGGGGCTCCGCTTGGCTGATGTGTGTTTTGTACTTCTCGAGATATGGTACACCCATCCCACACTTGACCCGGTCTCTCCAGGTAAATCTAAGGAAAGTAGGGAATTTTCGGGACAGACAGGCACACACACATACAGTAGCGGTCAAAAGTGTTCGCCGAAAAGATTTTTAGTGCATTATTTTTTCTCGCTTGAGCAACGCCCTCCAAAGATTGATATACTATGTTTTCTAGTGTTTTTATATCCTCAAGCCTTAAAGAATCAGGATGTTCAAAAGAAAAAATTTCGAGGCCACCATTGATTTTTTGCAAAAAAAGAGAAGCACGGAAAGCCGTTTCGGCAACACTTTTGACCCCTACTGTACATAGCGCATTATATTCGTCGCAGCGTGACTGTAGTAATCTCGCGTCATGTTAAACACAATGTATCACTGTGCCCTAGATCGCACCTCACACGCTGCGACTCGCCTGCTTACTATGCCTTCTGCCGCGCAATATGTAGGCCTTCTGACGGGTAACCACAACCAGATCAGTCCCGGTCCACCGCCGGGATCTTCCTCCCCTGAGTTAGCTCTACGTCTTCCGTTGTGGTCCCTTCCACCTGTGACTAATGACTTCAACACCTCGTGGAAGGTGACGCGTATGCAACAAAAAAAGAGTTTCATATAGTAGAAGGGCGTCGCCGTATGACGGTAGATTTTTCGCTTCCCTTCCTCATCCTCCCTTCCTCTCTCCACTGCCCTCCAGCTGCCACTGCAGCACCATGTGGAATGAACGGAAGTGTGCTAAGCAGGTGTTTATATAGCCCTGAGTGTTATCACAACTATCCTGCTACAAAACATTGATATCTCAAATCCTGTAAGCTACCCGATTTGTTAGCGGTTTGTTTATCCCATGAGCTCCTTATCACTCACTTCATTTTGCGGACGGACAGGCAATATTATTAGGTTGGCAAGATAGCATGTCGCTTCCGTCCGTGCCTTTGTTTCTCAGCTTACACAAGCCTCCTAGAATGGGAGACCATTCATTCGAGAGAGCGATTCAGCGCGCATATTGCGAAATCTTAGGCGCACTGAGCGGATGCTCTTTGAGTAAAATTTGGGTGCTAACTTAGTTGGGGGGGGGCCACGCGGCGGCGCGGCAGTCTGCTCACCTGGGCTCTCTCGAGCGAGACAGTGTAAACTCGAACATTCCAGCTTTTCACGCATGTCAAGTGACTGCCCCCACCCCCACCCCCTAGACTGCCTACACTCCCCCTGGCCCACGGATTTCCGAACATGCCAGGCGAGCAGACCGCCGCGTGCCCCCCCCAACTAAGTTAGCACCGAAATTTGGTTCGAAGATGACTTATCAGAATCATCGTCTGAGCGTATATATTCAAGCAAGAAAAAACGACCAACATTGTGTGCAAAACATTGAGCAGTAACACTTAGTCTCTGATGCACTTTCAGCTATGGTTTCAGCTCTTCTAAAACTGAGCTAAAGGAATTGAGGACGAAAATCGATGACGGGGAAATAAAGAAAGCCAACGAACTGAGTCCTCGACAACCGCACAAAACTTGCATGGAGATTCAGTTGTGTCAACAAGAAAAATTTAAAAGTTCCTACGTGCGACTGTTAAGGCCTTTCAGGATAGAAAATGGGTTCGGCCTATTCTGAGCGACGCGAGCAAGCAGTACTGGTTGCCAATACTGGAACTTCGCTCCATAACTTCAAGAGGAAAAGGTTCTTGACTTCGTGTTGACCGCATTTTACAAAGAGATGTTTCCCAATAACAACGCGAGAAGATGACCGTGGTTGGCGGCTGATGGGCAGCTGAGGGCCTCTCTGAAACCGGACATCCACTGAGAAAAAGTCGTGCTACGGTGTGGTGGAACAGTATAAGACTGGCTTACTATGGAGAGCTGATTGTGGGTCAGACAGTTACAGCTGAACTCTGCGTATAACAGCTCCACCGCGTGGGCCGAGCTCTGCGTCGTCAAGGGGTGAATTCGGCCAATGTAAAACTATTGCACCATAACGGAAGACCACATGTCGTGAAAATCACGCAACAAGAAATCGAGGAGTTGGGCTGGGACGTTCTACCTCCAGCGCCATATAGCCCAGGTCTGGCGCCGTCCGACTATCACTGACCCAGGTCAGCGCAACACTCCTTAGCAGCAAACCAATTCGATAACCGCGACGACGTCAAAATTTGAGTGCCCAACTTCTTCGAGTCGAACCAGAAAGAGTTCTACGCGGTAGGCATCCATGCTTTGCGTAACGAAAGGTGATGAGCCTGTGACACAGGTGAAGGAGATGGTTCAGGTTGATGTGCTTCATTATTGTTTATAATGAAAATAATTGATGATCGAAAACGACATTTCAATCTGGCCAACCTAATACAAACTGACACACCAAGTTAGTGGTCTATAAAATAGAAGAGATAAGAGAATGATAACCGGCAGCTCGCCAGCTTTTGGCAAGAACGGTTTGGATTGAAGCATAGACAAACATCGCTAAAACATACATAGCCATTAATTCGCGTGGTAAATCAGTGGTGGTGGAAAGCGGTGAGATAGTTATCGTAAGTCGTGCATTGAAAATATCATCACGTTGGAAGTAGTATGAATAGTT